ACCAGCGCCGGCAGCACGACAGCGCCGGCGAGCGCGCCTCGGCAGGTCGCGGGTCCGCTCCGCAGACGACCCACAGAGCTGGGCGACGCGTCCGCGGCATCGATGGCCCTCGTCGCTGCGGTCAAGTCAGGCGCCGGGGCAAGTCAGGCGCCGGGGCAGCACCAGCGCGGTGGCAGAGGCTCCGCGCTTCGCGCGGTGCGGCGTGATCAGAGCTTCGCACCCCGGGCAACGGCCCGCGTAGCAGCCAGGAAGACTCCGCGCTGATAGTCGAGTCGCCGAGGCCGGGCGACACGTCACGAGCATCGAGGTGGCGGCGGCGATGCGGAAAATTTTCCTCCGCGCTTCGCGCGGCCGAGCAGCGCGACGGTCTCGAAGACGTTCGAGGGGACGACGCCGACGCCGACGCCGGGATCTTCGTCGATCTCCCGCCGCCCGCCGGCCGTCGCGTGCGTGGAGTCCATCGCTCCGAGTCCCGTGGGCACTCGTCGAGGTTGTAGTCGTGGACGCGGCCGTCTCGAAGTCCTCGGGCACGGTCGGCGCGCGAGCCGGAGGCCCGCGGAAGGCCCGGAGGTAGTCGAGGTGCTAGGACTCCTCGCGGACGACGTCCACGAGCTGCATGTCGATGGACTCCTTGTCCTCCGCGTGGTTGCCTTCGACCGCGGGCTGTTGCCCGCGTCGGTCCGAAAGTACAACCGTTTTACGGTTGCACGGGCGCGCCGAGGGGACGACGCCGTGGCGCGACGGTCCGCGGCCCGTAACCGGTCATCCGACGGGCTGCGTGAGCTCGCGGCGAGACCCAGACGCGCGGGGCGTCCGGCGCGTGCGCAAAATTTTCTTCCGGCGCTTCGCGCCGGGGGTCGCCCCGAGGCCGAGCCCCGCGCGACGGTCCGGTCCGGTCGGCCGCCTCGACGATGCGATCCGGGTCCCGGCGCGCGGCGCGCGGGGGACGCGCCGCGAGCGCCGGGCCGCGGCGACGCGCGCCGCGCCTTCGGGCCGTCGCCATCGCCCGAGGTCGCCGTTGGGGCAGTTGGGGCAGCCCCTCGGCGAGACGCGCGTCCCGTCGACGCGGCGCGCCGCGGGCGCCCGCGTCGACGACGCGCCCGCGCCCGGCGGGCGGCGCGCGGGCGGCGCGGCCGTCCATCGCCGCGGTCCGGGGCCGGTCGCGGTCGCGGGCGCGGCGGACTTGGCGCTAGCAAACGGTCGCGCCCCGAGCTTCGTCGATCGGCGCCCCGAGCTTGTAATCTTTTGGGAGAAACAGCGAGGACGACGCACACCAAACCAGGACTTGTAAGGGTTAGGCTCGCGCCCGCGACGCGCGCGCACGTCGTCGAGGAAGCCGCCGAGCCCCGCGTCGGCTCGACACCGATGCCCCCGCACGACCCACGCAAGAGGGGGGAAATGCCCCCTTACGCGATGCCCCGGTGCGCCTCGATGGCGCCGAGGAGCCGGTTGATCGCCGTCGCGCCCGAGAGCGGGTACTGGCTCAGGCTCACGTAGTCGACCATGTTCTCGTGGTCGTCCTGGTTGACGTGGCCCGCGGCCATGGCGCCGACGACGAAGCAGACGGGCTTGTCCGGGAGCGTCGCGGCGAAGGCGCCGGGCGTGTAGCGGTCGCCCTGGACGGAGAAGCCGTAGCAGACGCAGTCCGGCGGGAGGTGCCTCTGGATCGGGTTCTTGATGACCTTGAGCAGCGTCTCGCGGCCGTCGGCGGCGCGCACCTTGAGCTTGTGGAGGAGCTGGACCATGAGCCCCGCGAAGCGCTTGTACGTCCGGGGGATGCGCACGGACTCGTGGAACTCGATGAGCACGTTCTGCCGCGTGCGCATGTAGACCTTGAGCTGCTTCGCCTTGTTCAGCGGCGAGTCGAAGAGCGCCATGAGCTCCTGGTGCGCGATGTCCGGCCGGCACTCCGCCGGGTCGCGGCCGTGCTTGCCGAGCACGGACCGGTGGTCGTCGCCGTTGAGCAGCTGGAACTCGCCGCGCTTCGTCTTGACGATCTCGAGGCACGCGAGGTCCAGCAGCACGATGACCGGCGGCGGCGGCGCGTCGCCGCCGAGCGGGGGGTCGTCGAGCGCGGCCATCGAAGCAGTATGGATCGCCTAGTTGCAGTGCATCGAGCAGCGTCGTTGAAGCCGCCCGAGGGCAGCCCCGCGCGCAGCGGTCGGCGTCGTCCAGCCCCACCGCGCCGGGCACGCGGCGGCGGCGCGCGTTCCGGCACGGCGCCGCTCCGGGCCGGCGATGAGCGCGCTCGAGGAGACGGAGAGCTGGATGCTCGACGTCGTCGTGCGCGACAAGTGCATCAAGGTGAGCTGCGGCGCGGCGACGCAGCGCGTCAAGTGGCTCGGGCACGTGGGCATCGCGCGCTACGACGACAAGACCTACCAGGGCTGGAAGCAGCTCGGCGTGCCGACGAAGATCACCAAGGCCGACGGCGTCGAGCTCGACCCCGGCGCGGTCGTCCGCGAGGTGCTCAACGACGGCGACACGGTCTACGTGTCCCACAGCCTCGAGCCCCAGGACGCGGAGCGCCAGGACTAGGCGACCCCGGGTCATAACTCGTAGAGCTCCGACTCGTCGGCGTAGGACGCGACGGCCGAGTCCCGCGCCGGCGCCGATTCGCCGAAGTCGAGCGCGGCGACGGGCGTCGGCGCCGCGGCCGCGGGGCTCCGCGCGACGGCGTCCGCGAGCTCGAGGCCCGCGTCCTTGGAGCCGGGCCCGTCGTCGTCGAAGTGCACCGGGTTGTAGACCGGCGTCCGCGGCGACGCCGCGGCGCCGCGGCGCCCGAGCCGCGCGCGCGGCGCCGCGGCGCCCGCGGCCAGGTTCAGCGCCGCGAGCGCGGCCGCGAGGGCCAGGTTCGGCCGCCGCGGGTCGCCGCCCGACGCGTGGAGCCACCGCTTCAGGCACTCCGACGCGACGGCGGCGGCCAGGCCGCCGACGGACGCGCACGTGCCCGCGACGACGCCGAAGTGCTCCGGCGGGAAGAAGAAGCCCACGGACTCGTAGAGGTGCACGAACCCGAGGAGCCGCGCGGGCACGAAGAGCGCGACGGCGCCGATCTGCAACCGCCAGTCGCGCGCGGCGCTCAACACGCCCCAGATGACCTGGGCGAGCGCCAGCGCGGCGTAGCCGTGGCCGCACGTCCGCTCGAAGCCGCCGTCGTGCCACCGCTCCTCCAGGCGCGCGACGACGACGAGCGACGGCAGCGCGAGGGCCGGGAAGCCCCAGTCCAGTAGCGCCCCGAGGGTCTCGGGCCGGCCGTGCCAGGCCGCCTGCTCGCTGAACGTCGCCACGTAGTAGCCCTGCTGCGTGATGTTCGCGCCGACGGCGAGGCTCGCCGCGAGGACGAAGCAGAGCGCGCGCCGGTCCAGCGCCGCGGCGACGTCGCGCGCGGGCCGCCGCAGGGGCCGCGGCGCCACGGCGCAGCCGCAGGCCGCGATGAGCGCCGCGCAGCACCCGAAGTAGACGCAGTGGAGCCCCGCGACGCCGAGCGACGGCGCGGCGTCGTACCTGGGCAGCACAAGGGTGATTCAACGTCGCTTCAACGTGAGTGTTCCGCGCGCGCGCGTTCCGGAAAAAGCATCCACGCTTCGAGACCGTTCCGAGAGATGATCGCTCGTCCAAAAATCAGCCGAAACGAGTGGAAAACGGCCGAGATATGAGCCTTTGAAGTTGGGAACTTCGCTCTCTTTTGCTGCCCTGCGTCGTACGCGAGCCCGAGCAGCGGGAACACGAGCGTCCCGAGCGCGAAGGCCGTCTCCATGACCGGCGCCGCGACGACCTTGACGTCGAAGACGCGGCCGCAGAGCGCGACGGACCCCTCCGCGCCCTGGAGCGACAGGCCCCCGAAGCTCAGGAGCATGCCCGATTCGACGAGCGCGAAGTACGCGTACGCGAGCAGGTACTCGAGCCGCGCGCGCGTCACGACGAGGCCGAAGCACACCGCGCCTAAACCCAGCAGGCCGCCGCTCAGGAAGCAGACGCGCCGCAGGCCCAGCGCGTCGATCGCGCAGCCGTTGACGATCGCGAAGACGTTGAGCATGCTCGAGCTGAACGTCCACGCGAAGTCGAGGCGGTCGAGCTGGGCGCCGCAGCGCGCCTCGCCGCCGTCGCAGGCGTCGAGGAAGAGGCCCTCGATGAGCAGCACGCGCTTGATGCCGTTGAACCCGAAGCAGGCGCCGCCCCAGAGCACGCCGAGCACGGCCATCATGACCAGCGGCCGCCCGGCGCCGGACGCGCCGGCGCACGCCGCCATCGGTGCGGTTGTGCGCCGCCCGCCGCGGCGGCGCGCGCGGCGCGTGCGAGGACTGCGCGACGACGCTCGACGCTCACGGCGGCGCGGCCAGGGCTCGACCCATCGTCGTCTTGCCTGCTTTGATTTTGCCACAAGCGCTTTTTTTTATCTTTTGCCAAAATCCGATGGGCGCAGGCTCTCGCCTGCTCGCCGCGTCGTGCGCCGTCGTCGCCGCGATGGCATCGGAAGACATCTGCACGAGTCCCAACGTGACGCTGTCCAACGGCGTCGAGATGCCGCGCGTCGGCTACGGCTGCGCCGGCCGCGCGACGGCGGCGAGCGTCGAGGCGGCGCTGCGCGCCGGCGCGCGGCTCCTCGACACGGCCCAGGCCGCGGAGTGGTACGACGAGGCCGCCGTCGCCGAGGGCCTCGCGCGGAGCGGCGTGCCGCGGAGCGACGTCGTGATCGTGACGAAGATGCACCCGCGCGACCACGGCGCGAACTCCGCGGCCGCGAAGATCGCCGCGTCCGCGGCGCGCTTCGGCGGCTACGTCGACGTCTTCCTCCAGCACTACCCGAGCTGCTGGGACGGCCTCTGCGGCAAGGGCTGGCAGAAACGGGTCGAGGGCGACTGGCGCGACTCGTGGCGCGCGATGGAGGCCGCGTACGCCGCCGGCGCCGTGAAGGCCGTCGGCGCGTCGAACTTCCGCGACGCCGAGTTCAGGGAGCTGCTCAACTTCGCGAAGGTGAAGCCCCACGTCTTCCAGACCTGGATGGACCCCTTCCACGCCGAGAAACCGCTCCGGGCCGCGGCGGAGCGCGCGGGCGTCGTCTTCATGTCGTACAGCACGTTGGGCACGCAGCAGGGCAGGAAAAGGGTGATTCAACGTCGCTTCAACGTGAGTGTTCCGCCTGCGCGCGTTTCGGAAACAGCACCCACGCTTCGAGAGCGCTCCGAGAGATGATCGCTCGTCCAAAAATCAGCCGAAACGAGCGGAAAACGACCGAGATAGGAGCCTTTGCAGTTGGGAATTTCGCACCCTTTTCCTGCCCAGGCACGCAGTGGGAGATGCAGCGGCGCGGGAACCCGGTGCTCGCGTCGCCGACGCTCCGGGCCATCGGCGCGCCGTCGGGCGCCTCCGCGGCGGCCGTCGCGCTGAGCTGGGCCGTGCAGCGCGGCGCCGTCGTCATCCCCCGGTCGTCGTCGCCGGCGCACATCGCCGCGAACGCGCGGACCTACGTCGGCGGCGCGCTCCAGCTCTGCCTGTCGGCGGCGGACCTCGCCCGCGTCGACGCGCTGGACGGGACGACGGAGCCGCCGCCGGCCGACGCGCCCGTCGCCGCGTCGTTCGCGAATCTCGGCGACGAGGCCGTCGAGCTCTTCTGGCGGAGCCCGGGCGGCGCGGAGACCAAGGTCGGCCTCCTGGAGCCCCAGGGGTCCACGGACATCTCGACCTTCGCGGGCCACGTCTTCGTCGCGCGGCTCCGGCGGTCGCCGGGCGCCGCGCCGCTCGCGGTCCTCGAGGTCGCCGCGCGGCCGGGCGGGACCCAGGCGTTCGCCATCGCGGACCCGGAGGAGGAGGAGCTGTAATGTTTTTAGACGTACCGCTCTTCGCCTAGGCGTAGGACTTGGTCTTGGCGATCCAGGCGTCGAGCTTCGCGAGGCCCGCGCCGGACGCGAGGCCGTCCTTCGCGAGCGCGATGCCGGCCTTCAGGTCCGGCGCGGCGCCGTAGACGTAGAGCCCCATGCCCGCGTTGAGGGCGATGGCGTCGCGGCAGGCGGCGTCGTCGAGCGTCGTCTCCTCGCCGAGCGGGATCGACGCCGGGTCCGCCGCGAGGCACCGGCGCAACGCGCGCTGGTTGAAGTCGGGCCCGCCGCCGACGAGGTCCGCGAGCGTGCAGCGGGGCATGCCGTAGTCCAACGGGTCCAGCGTCCACGTCGACGAGGCGTAGCCGTCGCCGTCGCGCTTGAGCTCCTTGACCGTGCAGGGCCCGAGCGGGCTCAGCTCGTCCAGCCCGACGCCGTGGATGACGACGGCGTGGTCGACGACGCCGATGCGCTCCAAGGCCGCGCCCAGCAGCTCCACGAGCGCCTCGTCGAAGACGCCGATGACGACGCGCTGCGCGGACGCCGCGTTCGTCAGGGGGCCGAGGAGGTTGAACGCGGTCCGCACGCCGAGCGCCTTGCGCACGGGCGCGACGAAGCGCATGGCCGGGTGGTTCTTCGGCGCGTAGAGGAAGCCCAGGCCCACGTCCTCGATGCAGGACGCGACGTCGTCGAGCTCGAGCTCGAGGTCGAGGCCCAGCGCCTCCAAGACGTCGGCGGCCCCGCACGCGGAGCTCACGGATCGGTTGCCGCACTTCGTGACCTTGGCGCCGCAGGCCGCGGCGAGGATGGCGCTGCACGTCGACAGGTTGATCGTGCAGGCGCCGTCGCCGCCCGTGCCGACGATGTCGAGCAGCGTGCCGGGCGCGTCGACGCGGACGCACGCGTCGCGCATCGCCGTCGCCGCGCCCGCGACCTCCTCGAAGGACTCGCCCTTCTGGCGCAGGCAGCAGAGCACGGCGGCGACCTCCTCGGGCGCCGCCGTGCCGTCGAAGAAGGCGCCGAAGAGGCTCCGCGACTCCTCGAAGCTGAGGCCGTCGCCGCCGATGAGCGTCGACAGGTAGGGCTTGAGCGTCCCGCGGACCGCGACGGAAGTGCGGCGCGGCGGCGCGGCGCGACCGCTCCGCGGCGGCGCGAGCGCGCGCGCGGTCGTTGCGACGAGCGCCCAGAGCAGGGCAGCAACACTGCGCTGCGAGCCAGCCATGTTGCGCGGCGCTTCAGCTCGGCCAGGGCGATCAGCCGGGGCTCCGTCCGCGCGCGCGCGCGAGTCCAAGGTGGCGGCGCCCGACTACTCGTCCGCGAAGAGGTCGCCGCGCCAGGCCTCGGGCGCCGGGGGCCGCGCGTGGCAGTCGAAGGTCGAGAGGACGACATCGACGGAGTCCCGCACGAGCACGACGGCGCGCGCGCGTGCGCAGACCACGAGGCGCTGCTCCCAGCGGAGCGACGCCTCGAGCGAGCTCTTGAACTTCGCGTGGCTTTCTTCATCCACCAGGGACACCTCGAGCACGACGTCGATGGCGACGAGCGACGCGTCCAGGCGCGACTTGCCCGCGCGCCGGGAAGAGTAGAACGCGCCCATCGAGGTCCCGGCCACGATCGACGAGGGCGAGGCGAAGGAGGCCCTCTCGGCCCTCGCGCCCGTCTCGCTCGCGGTCTTCGCGTCCGTCGGCACCGACGACCACGCGCTGCTGGGACAGGCGTCCTCGACGTCGCGAAGAAGCTCAGCACTGCGGCAAGCACGGTGACGCGCAGCTCGTGCGCCGATCGACGCGGCGATCAAATCGTGCGCGCAGCGCGCGCGAGAGCCGCTCAGAGTGCGCATTTGCGCGGCGATCGACTTAGCGCACAAGCTGGCGGCGCGCGCGCCGGAACCGAGCAAGAAAATTCCTAGGCTCGGCTCAGCCAAAGCTGAAGCTGAGCAAGCCCTGTTGACATCAGGGAGGCGGTGCCGCGCTGCTCTCCGGCGCTGGAGAGCACAATCGCGTCGGCAGCGCCTCGAGCCGCAGCGCCAACGCCAACACCACAACGCGTCGCTATATTCTGCTTTTCGCGCAGTGCGCGGCGGCGCTGCGGCCCATGGCTGCCGAGTGGGACGCGGCCGCCGGCGTCTACAAGAACGCGCGCGCGGCCTCGTCCTGCGAGGTGCCCAACCCGCTGTGGATCTTCGGCTACGGGTCGCTGGTCTGGCGGCCCGAGGAGCGCTGGAGCGACTACGACGCACGGCCGTGCGCGGTCCGCGGCTGGCGGCGCTACTTCGCGCAGCTGTCGACGGACCACCGCGGCGTGCCCGGCGCGCCGGGCCTCGTCTGCACGCTCCTCGAGGACGCGCCGGAGGCGACGACGCGCGGCGTCGCCTACCGCGTGCCCGACGCCGACGCCGACGCCGTGCTGGACGACCTGGACTTCCGGGAGAAGGGCGGCTACACGCGGAAGATCGCGCGCGTCGTTTTCGACGACGGCGAAGCCGTCGACGCGCTCGTGTACTCGGCGACGCGGGACAACCCGAACTTCGTGCAAGGGCTGGATTCCGACGACGCCGCGGCCGTCGACAAGGCCGCGCGGATCATCGCGACGGCCGTCGGGCCTTCCGGCGACAACGCGGCCTATTTGCTGAACCTCGCCGACGCGCTCGAGGGCACGGACCCGTATCTGGCCGCGCTCAAGGCGCGGGTCGTCGAGCTCCAGGCGTCATAAATATGGCATGCACGACTTAGCCCGCCTTCGGCTCCCGCTCGTCGTCGTCGCCGCCGGCGAGCGCGGAGAGGGCCCGGAGCGCGAGGAGCGCGGCGAGGGGCGGGAGGACGCGGCCGCGGCCGATGACCGTGGCGAGGCCGACGACGACGAGGACGATGTCCGGGCGGATGACGCCGCCGCCGGCCCAGGCGGCCGCGCCGCGCGCGCCGGCGGCGATCGCGTCGAGCGCGCCCGTCGCCGTCGCGCGCGCGGAGCCGCGGACGAGCGCCCGGGCGCCGGCGCGCGCCGCCGCGAGGGGCCGCTTGCGCGCCACTCTCGCGGCGACGGCGCGCGCCCTCGCGCGGGCGCTCGCCGCGCGGTCGCCGCGCGCCCAGCCCCCGAGCGTCGCCGCGGGCGCCGCGGCGACGTCGGCGACGGCGTCCGCGGCGAGCCGGGCCGCGTCCGCGGCGGCGCCGGCGGGCGCGACCCCCGCGGCGGCCGCGAGGCCCCGCTCGACGACGCGCGCCGCGTCCGCGCCGACGCCCGCGGCCAGGTCCGCGGCCGAGAGCGGCGGCGGCGCCGCGGCCGCGGCGAGCAGGGGCTCGCGCGGCGCGGGGCCGGCCGCCGCGATGGCCTGCGCGCCGGCCCGGTGCTCGTCGGCCGCGCGGACCTCGCCGAGGAGCTCCGCGAGCGTGCCCGCCGGAACGTCCGCCGCGGCCGCCTCGAGGATCCCGCGGCCGACGAGCACGGCGCGGAGCTCCTCCTCGGAGAGCTGCGCCGCCCGCGACCGGTGCGACGCCCGGTCCACCGCGTCGGCGGGGCTCGTGCGCCGCGCGAACGCGAGCGCCGATTCGATGAGCAGCGCGTCGTCGGCGGAGGCCTCTGGTTTCGCGATCGCTTGCGTTTCTGGCGGCGTTGCGAGCCTGCGCGTTCTGCGATGGTTCTGGTGCGGTGTCGGCGCGAGGCCTCCCGCAAGTTGCGCGAGCAGCGCCGCGACGACGACGACAATTGATCTCGCCATCTTCTTCTCGCTGTGGCTCAACTCGGCTCAGGACTTCACGGTGACGAGTTACTCGCGGTGTTGACGCGGGTCGGCAGCATGGGCCCCGGCATCAAGACTGAGGCGGACCTCCTCGAATGGCTCGAAAACAAGCATACCAGGGACCCGCTCTTCAACGTGGACATGGTACTATCGAAGCAGCGCATGACAGTTCTCTATTATGCGACCATAACAAATTGTTGCTCGGTGGTCAAATGGCTGCTGGAGCACGGCGCGGACGTCAACGCCGGCGACCAAGTGACCGAATGGACGCCGATGTGCAACGCAGTCGAGTTTGGAAAGTGCGACGTTGCGGAAATCCTGTTCGAGGGAGGAGCTCCGATCACCAAGATGCGCAGCGTAGGAGGTATGACGCACCTCCACCGCGCCGCATTCCGTGGCAATCGCAACATGTGCAAGCTCCTCCTGAGCCAGGGTGTACCGTTCGACGCAGCCGACGACGAGGGACGTGATGCAGAAACGTTCGCGCGAGGCAAGGAATCGTCCCTTCTCAACTTCGTCGGCGGTGAACACTGGCATTTGACCGATGAGCAGGCCAAAGAGATGGAGCGCGAAGCCATCGCAATATCGACCGCGGTCGACCTCTTGGCCGACGTCCGTGTTGCTGGGGGCTGGAAGCAATACATCGCTGTGCCACGCGCCGAGCTCCTGGCGTTCCGCCGGGAGCTCCCGAATCTGCGCCGCCGCGGTGCATCGAGCGTGGCCGCACACGAGCGGCTCTTCCTCGACGCCAACATCCCCGACGACGTCTTCTCCCACATCCTCTCCTTCTGGCGCAGCGACCGCGACTACGAAGTAAGCACCTAGGCCGGCCCCGAGTGCGACGGTCGGGTCGAGTCGTCGACGCTTACTATGACCCCCCGAGCAGCAGCGACGGCTCGTCCGTCGGTCGGTCGAGGAGCGCGGCGGCGGCGCGCTCGAGGTCCGCGGCGTCGGCGCTGGGCCACTCGAGCCCGCGCTTCTCGACGAAGGCGCGGTTCCAGAACCGGCTGAGGTAGCGGTGGCCCGAGTCGCAGAGCACGGTCACCACCGTGATGTCGTCGCGGTCCGGGTGCGCTTTCCGCAGCTCCGCCGCGGCGCGCAGCGCCGCGACGCAGTTGAGCGCCGACGACGATCCCAGGAAGAGGCCCTCGAAGCGGAGGAGGTAGTGCGCCATCGTCAGCGCGTCCGCGTCCGACACGCGGCAGGCGTCGTCGACGCGCGCGGCGCGGAAGTTCGCCGTGACCCGATCGAGACCGACGCCGTCCATGATCGTGTCGTAGCGGTGCCGCTCGACGAAGCGCTCCGCCTGGCGGGCGTCGTAGCAGACGCCGTGCCGGACGCGGCCGTGGAGCGACGAGCCCTGCGGGTCCGCGAGGTAGATGCGCGGGCCGTCGCCGAGGCCCAGGGACACGCCGGCGATGGTGCCGCCCGTGCCCGCGCCCATGGCGAAGGCGTCGACGGTCCGGCCGAGCGCGGCGGCCTGGCGCCCGATCTCGCGCGCGGTGCCTGTGACGTGCGCGCGGACGTTGGCGAGGTTGTCGAACTGGTTCGCGAAGAGCACGCGCTCGCCGGCCGCGGCGAGATCCGCGGCGCGCTGCCGCGCGACGTTGACGTAGTGCGTCGGGCTCGCGATCGACGCCGCGCGGACGACCTCGACCGTGATCCCCGGGAACGCGGCGATGGCGTCGCGCTTCTCCGCCGCGCAGTCGTCGGGCAGCACGGCGACGAGCCGGTGGCCCGCGGCGGCGACGAGGGGCGCGAGCCCGATGGTCGTCGACCCGGACGAGCCCTCGACGACGACGCCGCCGCCGCCCGACGGGAGCGCGCCGGACGCCTCGGCCTCCGCGAGCATGGCTAGCGCGATGCGGTCCTTGCCCGTGCCCGACGGGTTCGCCTGCTCGCACTTGGCGAGGATCGTGCAGCCGCAGAGCTTCGACAGCGAGTGGAGCGGCAGCAGGGGCGTCGACCCGATGAGCTGCGCCTGGGCGCTGTCGCGCCAGGACGGGTGCGCCGGCGCGAGCGCGCGGCGTAGGCGCTTGCGCCGCAGCCAGCGGAGGAGAGCGTACGCGCTCACTGTTGCGGCGGCGGCGATGAGCCGCGGGTGTCGCAGCGGCCGCATGAGTCCGTGCCGGCCCATGCTCTTCGCCCAAATAGTGGCTAAGTGAACTTTTCAACATAGCTCAGGCGGATCCACCACACGATGGACTGCTTGCCACGGACGCGGTGGATCCTTCTAGCGGCACTCCTCGCGTCCGCGTCGGGTCTCATGCAGCGTCTAGCCCGAAAAGGAGCGCTTTCGATAGCGAACTCACGCCCTAGAAATGCGCAGAAACTCTTTTTGTAGGTCTCGTCGCGCCGCTCCGCGCGACGCGGCGCTCGGCGCCGCGCGGGGCCTCCGAGGGCCCGGCGCTCGACATCACGGAGCAGATCCCCGAGCTCGAGGCGCGCCTGGCCAGCGCCGACGGCGGCGACGTCGCGGCCATCGGCGAGGAGCTCTCGAGCCTCCGGCTCTCGGCGGAGATGAGCGTGCTCTCCGCGAACGCCAGGGCAGGACAAGGGTGATTCAACGTCGCTTCAACGTGAGTGTTCCGCGCGCGCGCGTTTCAGAAACAGCACCCACGCTTCGAGAGCGCTCCGAGAGATGATCGCTCGTCCAAAAATCAGCCGAAACGAGTGGAAATCGGCCGAGCTAGGAGCCTTTGAAGTTGGGAATTTCGCTCTCTTGTCCTGCCCAGGCGAACGCGGCCTTCTACGACGCGTTCACGAGCTCGGACGTGCGGAAGATGCAGGACGTCTGGGCGGCGGGCGACGACGTGTCGTGCGTGCACCCGGGCCACCCGGTCATCGCCGGGTCCGCCGCCGTCGTCAACAGCTGGCGCGCGCTCTTCTCCACGGGCACCGAGATGCCGGCCCTGCGCGCGACGCGCCAGAAGGTCGTCATCCGCGGCAACGTCGCCTGGGTCACCTGCCAGGAGACGACGGGCGACGAGCCGTCGAGCCTCGAGGCCATCAACGTCTTCGAGCGCCGCGACGGCAAGTGGCTCATGTGCCACCACCACGCGTCGCCCGTCTTCGTCTGAGGCAGCTCCGCCCTAGTGCCTGTACATACGTCCGCCCGTTCCTTACGGGTCCCGCGCCGCCGCGTGGCCGGGTATTATGGAAGGCGCGCGTAGGACGGGCGTGGGTACGCGCGCGGCGGATCCCCCCCGACGGTTAGGGTGTAAGCTAGATTACGCGAAAGCAGAGATCCAACGAAGACGACGAACGATGAGGCCGATGAAGATGATGATGAAGACGATGGCGATGGCGATGAAGAAGACAACATAAAGCTCATTCCATGCTGCCGATAGATTTTTTCAGTCGAGAAATCTTTGATGCAGAGAAATGAGACCTGTAGGGCGCCGCCCTACTTCCAAGCGACCTTCGCGCCGCTGTACTCGCAGAGCACGGACTCGACGCACCCGATGGTGCTCGACGCGCATTCGCTCGAGCACGTCGTCTCGAACGTGCTGCAGAACGTCTCGATCTCCACGGACTCGAAGAGGCCCTTGCCACAGCTTTCGCACGCGTCGGTGAACCCGCATTGCGCCAGAGGGTCGTCGTCGTCGTCGTCGCCCGACTCGCAGAGCCCGGCCTTGATGCACTCGGTGTTTTCCGCGCTGCAGTCGGAGCACGTCGCGTCGAGCGTGGTGCAGAACGTCTCGGAGTCCGTGGACTCGAAGAGGCCCATGGCGCAGCTCTTGCACGCGTCGTCGACCTCGCAGTGCGCCAGGTGGTCGTCGCCGGCGCTGTCGTCGCTCGACTCGCAGAGCCCGGCCTTGATGCACTCGCTGTTTTCCGCGCTGCAATCGGAGCACGTCGTGTCGAGCGTGGTGCAGAACGTCTCGGGGTCCGTGGACTCGAAGAGGCCCATGGCGCAGCTCTTGCACGCGTCGTCGACCTCGCAGTGCGCCAGGTGGTCGTCGCCGGCGCTGTCGTCGCTCGACCCGCAGAGCCCGTCCTTGATGCACTCGGTGTTGCCCGCGCTGCAGTCGGAGCACGTCGTGTCGAGCGTGCTGCAGAACGTCTCGGGGTCCGTGGACTCGAAGAGGCCCATGGCGCAGCCCTTGCACGCGTCGTCGACCTCGCAGTGCGCCAGGTGGTCGTCGCCGGCGCTGTCGTCGCTCGACTCGCAGAGCCCGTCCTTGATGCACTCGGTGTTGGCCGTGCTGCAGTCGGCGGAGCACGTCGCGTCGAGCGTGCTGCAGAAAGTCTCCGAGTCCGTGGACTCGAAGAGGCCCATGGCGCAGCCCTTGCACGCGTCGTCGGCCTCGCAGTGCGCCAGGTGGTCGTCGCCGGCGCTGTCGTCGCTCGACTCGCAGAGCTCGGACTCGATGCATTCGATGGTGCCCTCGCTGCAGTCGGCCGAGCACGTCGCGTCGAACGTGCTGCAGAAGGTCTCGGTGTCCACGGACTCGAAGAGGCCCATGCCGCAGGCCTCGCAGGCATCGCCGAAGTCGCAGTCTTCAACAGCGAATGCGAGCGGGGAAGCAGCGAACGGGTTGCGCTTGACGAACGTAGCTGCGCCCATGCCTGCGCAGAACACGGCGGCCAGCACCGCACCTTGGCGAAGTCGGGACGAGTTTTCGGGCTTCTGGAGCAATGGGACTGCGCCGTACCCGGGCTTGGACTCGTCGTTGATGAGAGCTGCCATGTCGATTGATGGTGTGTGTTGTGGTGTGTAGATCGCGCTCGCTGCTGAAATCGGGCTGCTTTCGAGAATCGCACGTGCTGGCTTCCTGACGTCAAAACTGCTGAACAGCAATGAAACCAATCGAAGATTCTGGCTTCCTGAGGTCACGACTGCTATGAAAACCAATGAAATTGCAAGTGAAGATGTGCACCTGCAACAAGCGACACTTGAAGAATCCCTGGCGCCGAGGCGTTGGGCGAGGGGCCTGTCCGCCTTCCCCGGCGGCGCGCAGGAGTCGCCCGACACCGCGCTCGCGACGTGGACGCATCCGCGGTACTCGTAGTCGGCGGCCGGTCGCCTTTGAAGCCTCGGTTGTTCAAAGCCGCGCGATTTACATGTCCCGGGTAACATTAGCACATACGTCCGCCCTTTCCTTAGGGGCCACCGCTCACGCCCGGAAGCCGTCGACCTCGAGGAGGCCGAGGACGAGCGCGACGCCGAAGCCCGTCGCGCGGTCGTCCTTGAACGCGGGCCCCGCGATGTCCACGTGGAGCCAGGCGCCCGCGTAGTCCTTGTGGAGGCTCTCGCCGATGAAGTTGCCCGCGCAGGACGCCTGCGCGTCGTTGCGCGCGGCCACGGAGTTCTTGAAGTCCGCGACCTTGCTCTGGAATTGGGCCCGGTGGAACTCGGGCGCGTAGGGCAGCGGGTGCACGAGGTCGCCGGTGCGCTTGCCCGCGGCGACGGCCGCGAGCTCCGTGGCCTCGTCGTTCGTGAAGATGCCCGCGTGGTGCTTGCCCGTGGCGACCATCTGCGCGCCCGTCAGCGTCGCCATGTCGACGACCAAGTCCGGGACGCGGCCGCCGGGCAAAGTGCCCGGCGTCGTCGCGTGCGCGACGCCGTCGGAGAGCACGAGGCGCCCCTCGGCGTCCGTGTTGTTCACCTCGCAGGTGACGCCGGAGAAGAACGTGAGGACGTCGTCGTTGCGGAACGCGCCCGGGCCGACGGCGTTCTCCGCGAGGCATAAAGCGCAATGCAACGAATCTTTTGTGCCGATGGCCACGGCGGCCTCGAAGGCGCCCATGAGCGCGGCGGCGCCGCCCATGTCCATCTTCATGCCGCACATGCCCGCGACGGACTTGATCGCGAGGCCGCCCGTGTCGTAGACGATGCCCTTGCCCACGAGGCACACGGACTTGGCCGCGGCGGCCGGGACGTAGCTCAACACGCAGAGCGCCGGCGGCTCCGCGGCGGCCTTGCCGACGCCCCAGAGGCCGCCGTAGCCCTGGTCGCGGAGCGCCTCGCCGGCGATGACGTCCACGGTGACGTCGCGGCCCAGCGCCTGGAGCCGCGCGGCGACGGCCCGGGCCTCGCCGACGAACGCCGTCGTCGTCAGCTGCTCCGGCGGCGTGTCCACGAGGCGCGCGGCGAGGCGCACGGACGCCGCCGCCGCGCGGCAGGGCAGGTAGGCGGCCTCGGGCAGCGCGGGCGCGCCGGCGACGACGAAGCTCACGCGCGCGGCGCCGCCGCCGCCGGACCGCTTCATCGAGAAGAGCGGGAACGCGCGCGCGACGGCGCAGGCCGCGCCGGCCGCGTGTTTCGCGTCGTCGAGGACGCAGACGATGGCCGCGCCGCCGTCCTCCGCGACGCCCTCGGCCGCCGCGGGGCCGACGAGCGCGGAGATCGCGTAGTTGCGGATCGGGCTGCAGTGGCGCGAGCAGACCTCGGGCAGCACGGCCGCCACGAGCCGCGAGCCGTCCGCGAGCAGCGTGCTCGTGCTCTTGCCGCCGTCGCCCGGCTTCACCTTCTCGACCATCGTGCGCCACAGCGCCGCATTCATGCTGCCGACGGCCGTCGCGCCCTCGAACATGCCCGCGAGGTTCTGCTGGCGCCCGATGATGACGGTCACCGCCGCCTTGGCGGTCGACAGCGGCTCGAACGTGAGATCGACGGGCATGGTTTTATTGCAGGCGGTCGTTGCGGCGATTTTGCAAGGTTTTCGGCGGCGATTTTGCAAGGTTTTGCGGCGGCGAACAGTGCGATTTCAGCGCGTACTACAGGCGAGTAAACAGTGCGATTTCAGCGCGTACTACAGGCGAACTGGATTAAAAAGGAGCCCAGGGTCTGTCTGGATGCGACTTCGGCGAGCGGCAAGATAGCGGCACGTTGAATTCTCCACTAGCCGCCCCGCCACGACGCGATGGCGGCACTGAAGTAGCACAAAACCACCATGGGCAAAAAAATACCGCGGGACAATGGCAAGCGCACGAAGAAGCAGGAGCACCGCGTGGCCCGCGCGACGCGCCGGGGCGTCGTCGCGGCGCCGCGGGCCATGCCGCTCCACTTCCCCGAGCAGGCGCAGCACCTCGTCTGCGAGCTGCTCTGCGACCTGCGACTCGCGGAGCTGGACGCCGACGACGACGAGCGTTCGCGGCTCGAGCGCTACAAGCGGTCGCCGCACAAGGTGCTCAAGGAGCTCGAGACCGCGCGCCACTGCCCGTCGGCCGCGGCGGCCGCGGCCGCGCCGCCGCCGCCGCGCGCGGCGCCCGCGGCCAAGCTCTCGGGCCGCGTGCGCCTCAACCTCTGCCGCGAGGCCAAGGGCGGCAAGGGCGGCGGCGCGAAGCTGCTCGTCGTCGAGCGGAGCGACGACGTCGACGTGCTGCTGAAGAAGGCCAAGAAGTTGCTGAGCACGAAGCGCGAGCCCAAGTTCGCGTACGAGGAGGCGACGGGCCTCGAGCTCCGCGACACGCGCACGTCGAAAACGGTACGCGCGTCTGCGTCGCCGACGCGCTGCCGTCCGCCGCGCCGCCGCCGCCGCCGCCGCCGCCGGAGAAGCGGCGGGGCGTGAAGCTCGGGTCGTCGCGCGCCGCCGCGGCGCTCGAAGACGCCCCGGACCCGAACGACCGGCCCCCGTCCTTCGAGCTCGCGGCCGGGCCGCCGCTGCCGCCCGCGGCCGTCGACGGCGCCGCCGCCGCGGCCATGGCGGAGCAGCGCGCGAAGCTGCCCGCGTACCGCGCGCGCGGCGAGCTCCGCGCGGCGCTCGCGGCGGGCCCCGTCGCCGTCGTCGCCGGCGCGACGGGCTGCGGCAAGTCGACGCAGGTGCCCCAGCTCCTGCTCGAGGACGCCGACGCCGACGGTCGACGGTGCAAGGTCGTCGTCACGCAGCCGCGGCGCGTCGCGGCCGTCGCGCTCGCGGAGCGCGTCGCCGCGGAGCGCGGCGAGGCGTGCCGCCTCGGCGACGGCGACGTCGGCTACAGCGTGCGCCTCGAGCGCCGCGGCTCGAGCCGCACGCGCCTCGAGTTCTGCACCGTGGGCGTGCTCCTGCGGCGGCTCCAGCGCGGCGGGCCGCTCGACGCGACGCACGTCGTCGTCGACGAGGCCCACGAGCGCGACGTGCTCACGGATTTTCTGTTGGTCGTGCTGAAGACGCGGGTCCTGCCCGCGTGCCCGGGCCTCAAGGTCGTCGTCATGTCCGCGACGTTGAACGCGGCGCTCTTCGCGGACTACTTCGGCGGCGCGGCGGTGTTGGATATTCCCGGCCGGCTCCACGACGTCGCCGTCAGGTACGTCGACGCCGCCGCGGCGCTCGTGAAGAAATATCCGGCCAAGGCGTCGCGCCGCGCGCTCGAGGCCGCGAACCGCCACGCGAGACCGCCGGCGTCGATCCCCGAGGCGGGCGACGACGGCCTCGCGCCGGCCGTCGACGGGCCCGTCGACGTCGACTTCGTCTGCGCCGTCGTCGCCGCGGCGGCGGCGGCGGCGACGAACGACGACGGCGCGATCCTCGTCTTCGCGCCGGGCGCCGCGGAGATCGACAACCTCGTCCGCGAGCTCCGGAGGTCGCTCGGCGACGGCGCCTGGGTCCTGCCCATGCACGGCGGCCTCACGAGCCGCGACCAGCACAGGGTCTTCCAGCGGCCGCCGCCGGGCGCGCGCAAGGTCGTCGTCGCGACGAACGTCGCCGAGACGTCGATCACCATCGACGACGTCGACTGCGTCGTCGACCTGGGGCGCGTCAAGGAGCTGCGCTACGTGAGCGCCGCCGACGTCAGCGCCCTCGCCGAGGTCTACACGAGCCGCGCGGCGGCGACGCAGCGCGCGGGCCGCGCGGGCCGCGTCCGCGCCGGCGCCTGCTACCGGCTCTACCCGCGGAAGCTCCACGACGAGGGGCTGCCCGCGCACACGGCGCCCGAGATGCTGCGCACGCCGCTGGCGGACGTCGTGCTCAAGGTGCTGCGGCTCGGCTTCGGCGGGCCCAAGGCGTTCCTGGCCAGGGCGCTCCAGCCGCCGCGGCCCGAGTCGGTCGACGCCGCGCTGCGCGATCTGGTTGCCGTCGGCGCCGTCGCGGGCGGGGCGCCGCCCGAGGAGGTCCGCGAGGCGAGCGACGACGACGACGACGACGAGGCGCCGGAGCAGGACGGCGACCTCTTCTCGCTCGGCGCGGGGGTCCAGGGCCTGCTCATGGGCGACTCGTCCGACGACAGCGACGGCGACGACGACGGCGCCGCGCCCGCCGACGACGGCGAGGCCTGGGTCCTGACGCCTCTCGGGCGCCACGTCGCGGACCTGCCCATGGACTGCCGCGTGGCGAAGCTGTTGATCTACGGCGCGATCTTCGGCGCCGCGGAGCCGTGCCTCACGCTCGCCGCCGGCATGTCGCTACCAAAGGGCGTCTTCGTCGCTCCTTTCCACAAGCGCAAGGAGGCCGCGGCGGCGAAGCGGCGCTTCGCGCGGGGCAGCGAGAGCGATTTGTTGGCCGTCGTCGGCGCCTACGAGGCGCGCAGCGCGCTGGACCGGCGCGACGTTCCTGGATTTTGCCGCGACCACTTTCTGCACGCGGCGGCGTTGGGCGACCTGACGGGCCTCCGGAACCAGTTCCGGGGGCACCTGCGGGACGCGGGGCTGCTCGGCGACGAAGAGGCCGTGACCCTCGACGAGACGTCGTCGCTGCTGCGAGGCTTGTTGTGCGCGGGGCTCTACCCGCACGTCGCGCGCCTCGCCGGCGACGCGCCGCACCTCAAATGCCGGGACCGGTCCAAGTGGTGGTGCCACCCACAGTCGCTCAACTTCAAGACGTTGGCGCCCGGGGGCAAGCTCAAGGAGCGGAAGACGACCTACGTCGTCTACAACGCGCGCCTGAAGACCTCGAAGCCCTACCTCCTCGACACGTCCGTCGTCCACCCGCTCGCGCTCCTCCTCTTCGGCGGCGCGCTGCGCGAGTCGCTGGACGGCACGCGCGTCGTCCTCGACGGCTGGCTCCCCTTCAAGGCCACGAAGCACGCGCAGCTCGCGGTCCTCGCGCTCCGGGGCGAGATTGACGCGCTCCTGGCGGCCGCCGTCGACGCGGACGCGCGCGCGCGGCCCGCGGCGGAGGCCCAGCGCCGCCTCGTCGTCGCCGCCGTGCGGAACCTGCTCGCCATGCTGACGCCGACCTAAAACGTAGCTCTACGGCCTTCCACCCGTCCTAAAACTTAGCTCGCGGCCTTCCACCGCGCGAAGGCGCGCGCGACCTCGGGCGGCGCGCGCGCGGGCGCGGCCTTGAGGGAGCCGAACGCGTCGGCGCCGAAGAGCTCCGTCGCCGTCGACGCCCACTCGACGCCGTCGACGAACTTGGACAGGCTCCGGTCGCGGATATCGTCCCGCGACTTGCGGCGCTCGCGCTTGTGCGCGGCGACGCGCGAGTTCTCGCTCCGCTGGCCCTTGTCGTTGTTCCGCTGCGTGAACGCGTAGACGAGGCCTAAAAAGTCGACGAAGCCCGCGAGGGCCGCCTCGTCGCGGGACGAGAAGGGCGTCGCGTAGATCGTGCGCATGGCGTCGCCGGGCGCGACGTACGTGACCTCGTCGCGGAGCGCCGCGTCGTCCTCGGCCGTCATGGCGAGCTCGTCCGCGAGCTCGGGCGTCGGCGTTTGTTGGTCGTCGTGGAGCCGGTTCGAGAAGACGACGACGCCGAGCGCGCCCTCGGCCCCCGCCTTGGCGAGGAGCGGGATGAAGAGCGCGTTCTTGCTGCGATACCACCGCGCCGCCTCGCCCTCGCCGTCGAAGTCCGCGCACTCCGCCGGATCTGCGAAGACCGACGCGGTCCCGCTTTCGAACGCGCGGCCCGCGGGCCCGAGATGATCGCGGACGCGCCGCGGCTCCGGCGCCGCGCCGCCGGCCGCGCGGCTCCAGCGCGCCGTGAGCCAGTCCCGCTGGTCCTGCAGCAAGACTTCCACGCGGTCGGCCGGCGACGCGAGGCCGTCGAGCGCGAACTGCGCGACGGCGTCGCCGTCCTCGAGGTCGAGGCCGTCGACGGCGTCGAGGAAGCGCGTCGCCGCGAAGCGGAAGCTCTCGACGCGCGCGCGGAGGCACGGGTCGAGGCGCCAGTTGTTCGACGACAAGGACACGCGGTCGGACCAGCCCGCGCGGAAGTCGGACGGGTACGCCGCCGTCGTCGCCCGGATGAGCTCCCGGACGTCGCCGCGGAGCGCGCCGGCCTCGCAGCCCTTGGATCTCGCGAGCAGCTCCTCGAGGAAGAGCCGCGCCTTTTCTTTGACGCCCGCGCCGGGCGTCTTCGCGGGCGGCGCCGTCGCGGCGGCCTCGTCGTCCGCCGGCGCCTCCGCCTCCGCGGCCGCCACGGCCGTCGTGCGCGCCGAGTCGGGCCCGCCGTCGGCGTGGGAGACCTGGAGCGCCGCGAGGACGGCGCTCGCGAGGTCGTCGATGCTCGAGTGGTCGAAGCTGTCGGCGTGCTCGTTCTTGACCTTGTCGAAGGACGCGCGCCTCGACTTGCGGCCCGAGGAGCTCCCGCGCCGGCTCCGGGGCGACTCCTCTGCCGCGCTGTTGTTCGACGTCCGCCGGCTCCGGGGCGATTCTTCGCCCGCGCTGTTGTTCGACGTCCGCCGGCTCCGGGGCGATTCGCCCTGCTGGAAGGACTTGCGCCGCTCGGATCGCTTGGGAGGGCTCGGCGTCGGGGCCGCGGCTTCGGCGGCGCTCATCGACAGGCTCGTCGACACCGGAGCGGGCTTGATGGCGGGCATGCTGCTGCGCCTCGACGGCGCCATCGGGGAGAGGGGCAGTGAGACAGGGCTGCCTTCCTCACGCAGCGTGAGGCAGGGCTGCCCGAGAGCTGAGAGAGCAATCGAGAGAGCTGAAGGCAGCTCTCAAAACCCCCGATCCTTGAGGTCGGCACATGCAGGAAAGGTGGCATCCTAGGCAAAGAATTAACAATAATATGGCCGCCACCTAGCCGGGTGGCTCTTCTCGGGCTGCCCGGGATGCGCGCGTCGGGCCGATGGCGCGCCTCCGCGGCGGCGCTGTGCGCCGCGCTGCTGCCGTACGCCTCGCGGAGCGAGAACGTCACGATCGGCTTCGGCGGCGCCTGGCGGGGCCTCTTCCTGCCGTCGACGGCGTCGGGCGCGCTCCAGGGCGACGCGTCGCTCTGGACGAGCTGCGACGCCTTCGGCGGCTTCGCGCGGCTCTACGGCTACGCCGGCGACGCGCTCGGCGGCGGCCTGCTCGTCGACACGGGCGGCTCCTGGGCCGGCGGCGGCACGCCGTTTCCGGACGTGCTGGCGGACTACGCGGCCCTCTTCGTGCGCGACGGGCCCTACGCCGCGACGTTCCTGAACGCCTACGACTTCTCCTACGGCGACGCGGCCCTCGCGGCCTGGCTCGAGGTCGCGAATCGCACCTTCGTGCTGTCGAATCGCGCGGCGTCGCCCGCGCTCGACGGCGCGCCGATCGTGAGCTACGCCGTCGCGTCGACGACGAGCGGCGTGCGCGTCGGTTTCCTGGGCATCGCCGAGGCGCGGGTCGACTCCATCGACGGCGACTACGACCGGTGCCTCGCCGTCGCGGCGCGCGAGCTCGTCGCCGCCGAGGCGCCGGATCTGGTCGTCCTGGTCACGGACCTCGCCGCCGACGACGCCTGGGACGCGGCCGTCGCGCGGACGCCGGGCATCGACGTCGTGCTGTCGACGACGTGGGGCGACGACGTCGAGGACGTGAAGGCGCGCGAGAACTGGTACGGCGAAACCGTCGTCCTCGTGACCTTCTGCGCGACGTGCCCGGCCTACCTCATGATGAACGCGGTGTCGAAGGTGAGCGAGGTGCGCGTCGACCTGGCCGACGGCGGCGTCGCGAACGCGTCGGTCGTGCCCGTGGACCTCGACTGCGCGTGGCCGTCGGAGGCGTGGGCGCTCGAGATCCAGCACGAGGCCTACTACGCCATCGGGAGCGTCGGCCTCGACGACGCGTCCGTCGAGTCCGGAGAGCGCCCCACGGAGACGCAGCGGCGCGTGTCCTTCGCCGCGTGACTAAGGCCCGGCGAATTACCGCGCGACGACCTCGCCGTGCGGCGCGGTCCGGAACCGCCCCTCGCGGTACGTGAGGCGGCCGCGGAGCAGCGTCGCGAGGACCTTGCCCGAGCACTCGTGGCCGTGGAAGAGGCACGCGGCCGCGAGGCGCTTCTCGCGCTTCTTCTCGGGGATGCCGTCGAGGACATCGCCGTCGACGCCCTGGAGCTTCGACGCGTCGACGGTCCAGTCGCGGTCCGCGTCGAAGATCACAAAGTCCGCCCGGAAGCCGACGTCGATGAGGCCCCGGTCCGCCGCGAGGTTCAGCAGCTTCGCCGGCCCGAAGCTCAGCCAGACCGCGAGCGCGCCCAGGCCGTAGCCGTTCGTCCGCGCCGCGGACCAGAGCACGGGCAGCAGCAGCTCGTTGGCCCCCGCGAGCGTGCCGTGGGCCGCCCGTAGGAAGTCGCCGCTCTCCCGCAGCTTGCCCCGCGGGTCGCCCGGCGCGTGGCCCGACGTGACCACGGCGACGGTGCCGTTCTGGAGCGCGGACCAGAGCGCGCGGCGGTGCGCCTCGTGGCGGATCGGCGGGCTCACCTTGTGCACCGTGGCCCCGTGGGGCACGGCCTCCTCGCAGTGCGTGAGGTGGTAGAGGGCCACGGACCCGGAGAGGTCGCCGAAGAGGCGCCGGTTGCCCGCCGCGGCGCACGCGTCCTCGTGCGCCTGCGCGTCGTGGAGCACGCGCGCGGTCTGCAGCGTCGACACCTTGGCGACGTGGAGGCTCAGGCCGCAGGCCGACGCGCCGCCGCCGTCGTCGAGGGACGCGGCGGCGTCGAGCGCTGCCTCGAGGCCGATGGCGCCCGCGGCCGACGGGTGGCCGTCGCAGTAGAGGCTGTACTCCTTGCGGATCGCGCGCCGCGTGTGGCGGTCGTTCTCCTTGAAGATCTTGATCGCCGGCGGCCGCCGCGGGTTCGGCTTGCGGAGCGGCGCCTCGGGCGGCGACGCCCGGCGCGCGTCGAGGTCCAGAAAGGACATGCGGCGCCCGTCGGGCGGCGGCGGCGGCGGCGCCGCGACCTGCGGCGGGCTCCGGCCGCCCGGCGCGGGCCGCAGGGACGCGTCGGGCTCGAGCACGGGCGTCGCCGTGCGGCCGTGCTCCGCCACGAGATTGCCCAGGGAGCTCAGCGGGATCAGCGGCGACCCCGCGCCGGAGCGGCGCTCGCCGGCCGCGAGCGCCTTGACCCGCCGCAGCCGCGGCGACGTCGGCCCGCCGTCGGGCGGCGACGACCGCCGCTCGCCCTGGGAGAAGGTCGCCCGCGACGCCGCGTCCGCGGACCCCGGCGGCGTGCTCGACCAGCCCTCGGGGTCGTCGCGCGGGCTCCGGCGCCGCGGCGGGCTGTCGACCGAGGGCCGGTGGCGCCGCGACACGACGCCCGCCTCGATGCGCGCGGGCGAGTTGCCCCGCCGTAGATCCGGGCACGTCGCCCGCGAGAAGACCGTGGGCGCCGTCTCGACCTCGAGCGCGACCTCGCGCTTCTCCGAGTCGGGCGAGGGGCGCCCGCGTCCCGGCGGCGCGGAGTCGGGCCGCGGGTCCGCGGAGGCGCGCATTCCTTTGAGCCCCTGCGTCTCCACGACGAGCGCGCGCCCCGGCGGCGCGGAGTCGGGCCGCTGGTCCGCGGAGGCGCGCAGGCCCCGGAGCCCCCGCGTCTCGACGACGAGCGACGGCCTCCGCCAGGCGGCGGCGCCCGGCGACTGGGGCGTCGGCGGCTCCGCCGGGGCCTTGGGCGGCGAGCTCGTCTCGCCGAAGGCGTCGCCGAAGAACGACGAGCTCCGGGGCATGAACCCGAGCACCTGGTCCAGCAGCGACGCGCCGCCGCGCGGCGACCGCGCCGTCGACGGGCCGCTGGCCGGCTCGGACGTCGTCGCCGACCCGGACATCTGGTAGGACTCGAGCTCGGCCTGGAGCAGGTTCTTGACCCACGTGCCCTCCTCCTTCTCCCCGAAGGGGTCGCTCCGGTCGCGCTTCTGGGACCGCGGCGGCGAGTCGTAGCCGCTCCGCGGGCTCCGCTCGCCGGGGCTCCCGAAGGGCCGCGGGCTCCGCTCTTTCGGCGACCCGCAGGGCGGCAGCGGCGGCGGCCGCTCGAGCTCGACCTCCTCGGAGAAGGGCCGCACCTCCCAGATCGTCTGGCTCGACCGGCCCTCGGATTCGTTCTTCGGCGACCGGAAGAACTCCGACGGCGGCGCCGCGCGCCGCGTCGGCGTGCTGCAGTGGCTCTCCGCGGGGCTCGCCGCGGCACCGCCGAGGCGCGCGACGGCCACGGGCGGCGGCCGCGACGGCCGCGTCCAGCCGCCGGGCGTCGCGGGCGTGTCCGGCGACCGGTCCTTCGCCGCGCCGGCCCGCAACGTCGCGGCCGCGGGCCCGCGCGGCGCCGCCCAGTCGTCGTCGTCGGGCGGCGGCGCCGCGTCCGCCGCGGCCGCGGGGCCGCCGCCGTCGTCGTCGTCGTCTACCTGGCAGAACGGCAGCAGCATGAGCGGCGACTGCGCGTCCTCGCGCGTCCCCGGGGCCAGCAGCCGGAACGGCGACGACGCCTCGAGCTCCTCCGTCGTGAGCTGGACGGCGTTGAGCAGGAGGGGCAACGGGTCGCCGCCGCCGCCGCCGGGGAACGCCGCGAGGAGCCGCGCGAGGTCCGGCGCGGTCGTCTTCCGGCAGCTCCGCGACGCGGGCGTGAGGTGCGCGGCGACGGCGACGGCGCCCGCCGCCGCCAGAGCCCGCGCCGCCTCGCCGACGTCGCCGCCGCCGCTCTCGACGCGGCCCGCGAGCGCGACGTCCGCGTGCGCATCCGGCGGCCTCGCAGAGCCGCCGCCGCTCCCGGAGGTCGTTGGCCGCGCCGAGCGGCGCGTCCTGGGACGCCAGGTCGACGGTGCAGGTGATGCCGCCCGCCGCCGCCGCGCGCGTGCCGCGCTCGAAGCCCTCCCAGCAGTCGCTCGCCGACCGCGGGCCCGCGCCGGCGCACTCGCCGAAGCGCGCGCCCGCGTCGACGACGCCGGGGAAGACGACGTGGGCGCCGCAGTCGCGCACCTCGCAGCCCGGGGGCAGCGCCACGGCGTCCCCGGGCCGGAAGACCGCCGCGATGACGCCGCGCACGACGACGACCGTCGCCGGCACCACCTCGAAGAGGCACTCGGCGTCGCAGGGCAGGACGACGCGCGCGCTCGACAGCGCGAAGCAGTCGGCGTCCGACGCCTCGAGCGGGCCCGTCTCGCACGTGGGCCACGGCGCCATCGGTGCTCTAAACCGCCGCGGGCAGCCTCGGCATCACCATCGCGCGCACTGCACTCACGTTGGCTCAAGGAAGCTTCGAATCTTGCCAGTGACAGCCCTTCTCACCCTTGCCGGGGGTCGTACATAAACCGCGCCGCCTCACTCATAAAAATCGCAAAATTTAGAGCGCGAGCCAGTCCGAGGGCCGCTGGCCGTGGGCGTCGCCGACGCAGCCGGACGGCGCCGCGCCGTACTTGGCGAGCATGGCCGCGTCGTAGTCCAGGAGCTGGTCCTTCGGCGCGTCCCGCGCGGGCTTGAGGCCGTGGAACATCTTGTGGAAGAGGCCCTGCCACGTCGTCGCGAGGTCGTCGACCATCTGCTTGTTGTAGGCCCGGACGTTCCGCGACGCGCGCGCCAAATCCAAATCCGGGCTCGCGAGCTTGTCGAGGAGGTCGTCGAAGGAGTCGAAGGTCTCGATGTGGGGCCACTCGTAGAAGTCGGCGAACTTGATCCACCAGGCGATGGCGTCCTCGTCGAACTCGTCGTTGGGGTCGTGCGGGTAGGTCCCGCCCGGAGCCTGGGGCAGCGCGGACCGCTTCGACGGCCGGCCCTTGTGGCGGACGAGGTCCCAGGTCCGCTCGCTCATGACCCGGTACTTGAGCTGCCACTTGGCCATGAGAGTGGGGTGGGGCGCGAACATGGGGATGCCCATGCGGTAGTACTCGAAGATGGACATGATCGACACCTGGTACGGGATGAGCACGACGGCGGGGTGCGCCGCGAGGTCCGAGTATTCGAAGTGGGGGTAGAGGTCGCGGATGCGGCGGAAGTCGAAGGACCCGCCGCCGCCGCAGAGCGCCGTGTTCGCGGCGCTGGTTTTGCAGGCGCCCCTGCGCCGGTCCGCGGCCTTTCGCAGCATGCCGAAGAGCTCGTTCGACACGCCGCGCCCGGGTCCCACCAATATCTGGTGCCGCGCGGGCGCGTAGGTCGCGCCCGTGTAGCCGCAGTAGTTGGGCAGCACGGGCACGTCCTTGAGGCCCGTGAAGTACTTGACGTACTCCGCGTCGTAGCGATTGTTCGCCGCGACGACGTTCCGCGGGTGCGCCGCGATGGCCTTCAGATTCTCGTTCCACGCGCGCCACCGGCCCGCGTCGTGGCGCCCGATCTCGTAGCGCGTGCTCGCGACGACGACGAGGGACGCGTTGAAGGGCATGAAGACCTCGCAGAGGCCCGCCGCGTGGTGGCAGAGGAACGCGTCGACGCCCCGGAGCCGGCCGTCGCGCTTGTAGGTCTCGAAGAACTGTCGTCGGAGCTTGTTCGGGCAGCGGCCGAGGTCGATGCCGTTCTGCTTCGTGATGACCTTGAGGTCCTTGCTGCAGGTCTTCTTCAGGTGGCAGTGGCCGCTGAGCGACTCGTCGATGATCGTCATGCCCATGGGGTTGAAGATGTCCTTGAGGTCCGCGATGGGCGAGATGTGGAAGTCGCTGCTCCAGAACGTGTAGCCGCCGTAGCCGCTCGCCGGCGGCGCGTCCGTCGGCCTCCTCGGCGGCGGCGGCGGCGGCGCGGCGGCCGGCGGCCGCGGCGGCGGCGCGGCCGCGGCCGGCGGCGGCGCGGCCGCGGCCGGCGGCGCGGCGGCGGGCGTCGACGCGAGCAGGAGCGCCTCGTCGCGCGACGCGAGCGCCGCGTCCCGCGACGCCTCGACGCCCGCGAGCTCCATGTTCAGCTTGGCGACCTCCGCGAGCTGCTGCCGCGCCTTCGCCTCGGCCTCCAAGGACGGCGCGTCGTCGCCGCCGGCGTAGGACGACAGCGTCATGGCGCCGAGCACGACGACGGCGACGACGACGAGGAGATTGCCGCTCGAACCCCCGGACGGCCGCGCCGTGTCCTTGTTGCCCATTTTGGCAGCGTCTATGCGCGAACCGCTGTGGCAACTTTGTGGCAAACTTCGCTGAAAGGTTGGCAATTCCCACGATCGGGCTGCTAGGCTGCTTGCGGCTTCTCATATGAATGCTTGAGGCTGCCCCTTATTGCGTCCTCGCAACGCGCAACGCGTGACACTCAGCGCACGGCGATGGGCGCGCGCTGGGAGCAGCTCGAGTGCGGCCTCGCGCTGCTGAAAATCAATTGGGGCATCGGCATGATGGCCATGGCGTACTACATCTCGCTGCTCGGCGCCCCCTGCGGCGTCGCCTTCTTCGTGTTCACCATGCTCATCACCTACCTCGGCGTCGACCGCCTCCTGCGCGCCGAGGACGCGCTCGACGGCGACGGCGACGACGGCGCGCCCGACGCCGCGCTCCTGCCGGCCGAGAAACGCGGCAGGGACGCGACGTACACGTCCGTCTGCCGCGGCGCGCTCGGCCCGCGCTACGAGACGCTGGCCTGCGCGCTCATCTGGCTCTGCAGCGTGTCGTCGTGCGTCGCGTACGCGACCTTCGTCGCCGACAACGGCGCGCGCTTCGCCGGCGGGCCGCGCTGGGCCTGGGCCGCGGCGCTCGGCGGCTGCGCGCTGCCCGGCGCGCTCTTCCTCGGCGACCGGCTCGACTCGCTCAGGTGGTGCAACGCCGCGGGCCTGGGCCTGGGCGTGCTCTTCAGCGGCCTCGTCGTCGGCAGGTGCGGCCGCCGCTTCGGGTCGCTCGCGGCCGTCGCCGCGGCGCTCCGGCGCGACGCGCCGACGCCCGCGGAGGCCGCGGCGAATCTGCCCGTGGCCGCGGGCATCGCCGTCTTCTGCAACGAGGGCATCGTCGCGCTCGCGCCGTCCGCGCGCAGGGACATGAGCCGCGCGGGGCGGCGCGCGTTTCGGGCCGTGGTGGCGAAGACGTTGGTCGCCTTCACGGTCTTCTACATGGCCGTGGGGCTGTCCGGCGCCGCGCTCTACGCGGACGTGAGCAGCGAGCTCGCGCTCTCCTTCTCGGAGAACCCCCTCGACGCCGTCGCGGTCATGGCCTACGTGCTGCAGCTCGTGCCGACGAGCGTCATCGTCTTCTTCCTCGCCTTCGAGACGGCCGAGGGCTGGTGCGCGCGCCGGTCGGGCCGCGACGCGCGCGCGAGCCTGCCGCGGAACCGCGTCCTCGCGGGCCGCGTCGCCACCGTCGTCGCCTGCGCCGTCGCCGGCGCGGCCGTGCCCCGCTTCGGCGATTTTCTGGCGCTGACGGGCTCCGTGTCCAACGCCGCGACGATCTACGTTTTGCCCCACCTCATGTTCTTCCGCTGCGTGCCCGGCGCGCCGCGCGGCGAAAAGGCGCTCTCCTGCGCGAACGTCGTCTTCGGCGTCGTCTCCGGCGTCGTCGGCACGGTGCAGAGCGCGAGGGGCCTCTTCGCGTAACGTGATTAGCCCCAGCGCCGCTCGGCGAGCTCGTCGAGGGACGCGGCGACGAGCGCCGCGGTCCAGGCCGGCACCTCCATCATGACGTCGTGGCCGACGTCCTTGGCGACGACGAGGTAGGCGCCGCGGCCCGCGAGGGAAAACGCCGCGTCGACGTCGCCGGGCAGCGCGAGCGCGCCCCGGAGCGGGTGCGCGCACGCCGCGGCGACGGGGCGCAGGATCTCCTCCATCGTGTCCGGCAAATGGTCCAGGTGCGCGAGCGCGCGCGACTTGCCGCCCGTCGCGACGTGGACCGGACACGAGAGCTCGCCGAGCCGCGGGAACGCGTCCGCGAGGCCCCGCGCGACGGCGAGGTAGACCGACGCCTCGGCCTTGCCCGCGCAGGTCAGCGCCATGTCGTCGTCCACGCCGTAGTCCACGTAGGCCTCGACGGCCGCGTCCCGCCACCCCACGCAGCCGACGGTGCGGAAATAGGCGGCGACGTCGGCCTTGGAGTCGCAGTCGTCGAATTTGGACCGCCGCGCGCAGGCCATGGCGACGTTGGGCATGGACTCGGGCGCCGGGTCGTCGTCGACCTCCGGCGGCGGCCGCGCGACGATGGGGTCCACGAGGAGGAGCCCCCGGAACGTGCCCGGTTTCTCGAGCTCCGCCAGTACCAGCCCCGCGCCGCCCATGGAGTGGCCGACGCCGTAGACGGGCCGCGCGCCGCCCTCCGCTTCCAGCAGCTCCGCGACGTCCCGCGGGAAGACGTCGCGCCAGACGTAGCGGCCCGCGCTCGGCGGTCCGTCGCCGTCGAGCCCGCGCGACCGCCCGTGCGCCGTCCAGTCCAGGGCGAGGACGTCGTAGACGACGGAATTGTCCCAGAGCCTCGCGTGGAGCTCGCGGAGCGCGGGCAGCCACGTGCCGCGGTTGAATCCCGCGCCGTGCGCGAACACGACCAACGGCGCCGGCGCCTTGGCGTCCCTGGCGCTGCGGCCCGCGCGCCCGAAGCTGTAGGCGAGGCCGCCGGGCGTCGCCCGTTCCTCGAGCGCCAGCGGCTCGAGGGGCGGCACGACGCGCACGGCGGCGGCTAAAGTCTTGTCGTCGAAGACCTTGCGCGCGGCCGCGGCCGAAGGCGCGGGCGGGAGGAACTTGCTGCTCACCCAGCCGTGGATGCCCGTCGGGCCCTGGCCGCGCACGAGCACGCGCTCGACGCGCGTCGACGACTCGGCGGCGGCGTAGGCGAAGATGCGCGTCCCCTTGGGGATCACCTCGCCCTTGGGCGAATCGAGCTCGACGCCCTGGCGCACGAGGGCACGTTGGATAGTCTCCACGGGCAGCCCCTCGACGCCGCCCACCGTGAAGAGCGAGATCCAGGTGTCCGCGTTGGGGCTGCTCAAGGCTGCCATATGCCACTCACAACAGGGGTGTCTCAACCCATGTCATTGCCGCCACCTTCAATGCCGCGGCATCAATGCGAACTTGCACAGGCTAAAAAAGGTCGCAAAAACCGAGTGGCAATAGCTGCTGCATTGGTGCCGGCGCGCGGGGGATCCACGACTCGCCTCGTTGCATGCGCGCCAGGCTCGCCTTGCTGCTCGGCCTCGCGCGCCCCATGTCGGCGTTGAGCGCGCGCGCGTCGCTGGCCTGCCCGCACCTCAAGCTCAACTTCGAGGCGTCGGCGTCGGAGATCGCCGCCAAGTCCGCGGCGCTCGTCGCGGGCCTCGACGCCGCCGTCGCGCGCATCGCGTCGGGCGCGTCGGGCGACGCGGGCGCGGACTGGATCGGCGCGACGGACGCCGTCGCCGCCGCGTCCGCGGAGGTCTGCCTGCCCGCGCTCGTCGCGACCGACGACGCCGCGCGCGACGCGGGCGCCGCGGCGAAGCGCGCTCTCATCGACGCGTTCCAGCGCGCGCACGGCGACGCGGGCGTCTACGCGGCGCTGCGGGCGCAGGCCCCCGGCGACGCGCGGCGGGCCGAGGCGCTCCGGCGCCACGTCGCGCTCTTCGAAGCCAACGGGCTGGGCCTGGACGACGCGGCCGCGCGGAGCGACGTCGCCGCGGTCCGCGCGGAGCTCGGCCAGCTCTGCGCGGCCTTCGAGCAGGCCATCAACGTCGACGCGAGCTACGTCACGTTCGCCGAGGCCGAGCTGGCGGGGCTGTCGCCCGCGGCGATCGCGGCTTTACCGAGCCGCGACGGCGGCGCGACGCGCGACGTGTCCCTGAAGGCGCCGACGCTGACGCCCGTGCTCCAGAGCTGCGCCTCGCCGGCGACGCGGAAGCGCGCCATGGCCGCGGGCCAGTCCAAGTGCCCGGAGAACGTCGCGCGCCTGAACCGCATCGTCGAGCTCCGGGCGCGCCTCGCGCGGCTCCTCGGCGCGGAGAACCACGCGGCCGCGGCCCTATCTTCCAAAATGGCGGCGACGCCGGCGACCGTGAACGGCTTCCTCGACCGCGTCGCGTCGAAGCTGCGGCCGCTCCGGGACCGGGACCTCGCGCGGCTGCTCGAGAAGAAGCGGCTCGAGCACCCGGGCGCGGCGCGCGTCGACGCCTGGGACGTGGCCTACTACAGCCGCCAGATCAAGGCGGACCTCGGCATCGACGAGGAATCGCTGAAGCCCTTCTTCCCGATGGACCGGGTCGTGCCCGCGGCGATCCGGGCGCTCGGCGAGGACGTGCTGGGCTTCTCCGTCGACGGCCCGCTCGCCGACGCGCGCTTGTGGCACGAGGACGTGGACTTGTACGCGATCCGCGACGGCGCCAAGGTCCTGGGCCACGTCGCCTTGGACCTGAAGTCGCGGCCGGGCAAGTTCGGCCACCAGATGGTCGTGCCGCTCCGGCCCGCCGCGGGCGAGTCCCCCAACGCGTGCGCCGTGCTGGGCAACATGGGCGACGCCGCGGGCTTCATGCGCTTCCGCGAGGTCGAGACGCTGCTCCACGAGCTCGGCCACGTCTTCCACGCGTTGGCGGGCGACGCGAAGCCCGCGATCCTGAGCTGGGCCTGGCCCATGGTGCCCTGGCCCGGCGGCGTCGAGATGGACTTTCTCGAGGTGCCGTCCATGCTCTGCCAGCAGTGGGTCTACGCGGCGCCCATGCTCGCCAAGCTCGCGACGCGCGCGGCCGACGGGTCCGAGATTCCCGCGGACGTCGTCGCCGCGCTCGCGGAGAGCCGCCACCTGCTCGCGGGCGTCGGCAACGCGCGCTACCTGTCCATGTGCGCCTACGACATGGCCATGCACTCGTCGGCGGGGGCCGTGGACGTCGTCAAGCTCTACGGGCCCCTCGTGCGGGAGTACTCGAACCTCGAGGAGATCGACGGCACGCACTTCGCGAGCAGCTGGTACCACATGGCCATCGGCTACGACTGCGCCTACTACGGCTATCTGTGGTCCGAGATCTACGCCGTCGACGCCTACGCGCGCTTCGGCGACGCGCTCGACGCGGCCGAGGGCCGGCGGCTCCGGGATCTCGTGCTCGCGCCGGGCGCCGCGGAGCCCGGCGCGACGATGATCGCCAACTTCCTCGGCCGGCCGCCCAACGAGGACGCGTACTTCAAGCGCCTCGGCGTGGAGGCCTAAGAGTCCGAAGCGAAGGGGGTTTTCTCACGAGCGGGCGCCTAGGCGGCGCGCGTCGCGAGCGCGGACGTCCGCGCGGACGCCTGGAGCGCGCGCCGCGCGTCGTCGACGTCGACGAGGACGCGGAGCTTGGCCTGGCCCGGGTTGCGGAGCTTGGCCTTCTTCGGCCGCTTGTCCGGCGCGTCGCCGACGAGGCCCGCGGCGACGAGCAGGCCGAGCGAGTCGTCCGCGGCGGCGGCGACGTCGAGGCCGCCGGCGACGTTGGGGCACGCGCGCGCGTAGGCCGCGCGGAGCCCCGCCTTGGAGAAGGCCTTGTCGTCGGCGCTCGCGGCGAGGCCCAGCGCCGCGTGGAGCGCGACGTGCGCGTGGTGCGGCAGCGTCGGCACCGCGGACAGCGGCCCGGCGGCGGCGCCGCCGAGCGTCTCGCGGACCGCGCGCGCGGCCTGGGCGAGGGTCACGGGCGCGCCGGCGCCGTCGGCGTCGCGGATGGCCAGCGCGCGGCGGCAGACGTCGAGCGCGCGCCGCGCGTCGCCGGTCGTCGCCGCGACTTTCCGCGCGCAGAACTCGAGCGCGGGCCGCGCAAAGACGTTTTCGCCCGCGCGCTGGGCGACGATGTCGACGAGCTGGGCGTGGCCGTAGGGCCGGAAGACGACGGTGACGACGCGGTCGCCGTCCTCCGCGTACGCGGCGTCGTCGCCGAAGAACGCGCGCCGCGGCACGTCCGCCGCGTTCGCGACGCCGACGAGCGCGAGGCGGCTCCCGGGCGCCGACGCGATGCGGAAGACGCGCCGCAGGGCGTCGCCGGCGACGGCGACGAGGGAGTCGATCTCGTCGACGACGACGATCTTGACGACCTTGTCGTCGCGCTTCCGCTTCTCGCCGGCCCTCGGCGCGCCGCAGCGCTCCGCGAGCCGCGCGAGCGCCTCCTTGGCGCCGAGGCCGCTCCAGGAGAGCTTCGGGCAGGCGCCGGCGCCGACGGCGCGCGCGAAGGCGTCGCCGGACCCGAAGGCCGTGCCCCGGAGGCTCACGACGACGGCGCGCTTCGACTCGCCGACCGCGGCGTCGCGCGCGCGCTCCACGTGGAGCGTCTTGCCCGTGCCCGGCGCGCCGCAGACGTAGAGGCTCCCGCCGGACGTCGTCGCCAGCCGCGCCTCGAAGAACTCGAGGATCGTGCCGTACTCGCGCTCGCGGTGGCGCGTCGTCTGCGGCGCGTAGCTCAGGCGCAGGCGCGACACGACGTCGGCGTCCGCGGTGGTCGTCGCGTCGGCACTCGTCGACGACGACGACGCCGTGGCCATCGTATCGTGGCGTCGCGTAGCGGCTTGCGTGGGTCTACTACGTTGTCTTTTGCCACCGCCGCGGTCGAGATCAAAACGCGCTCCCGTTGGCGCCAATGTTTGGAGAGCCGGCTCGGCGAGCCTCAACAATCATTCAACATTGGCCTGGGAGGGGCTACGTGCGTCCTCTCCTCCTCGTTCGGTCTCGCGTACGACGTCCGAGGTCTGGGGGGCTTCCGGACGTGGCCGTAGACGGGAGGGCCCGTCGTTTATACGGCGCGATGCGCATCACCGATCTTGAATGAACCTACCGGTGACCGCGTCCCCATCTCAACACCTCTCACGATCCCTCTGCTAAGAGAACGGGGCCATTAAAACAAGGGGGGAGGGGGCTCAGCGTCCGCCGTCCCTAGAAGTCGATGCGGAGCATGTCGCCGGGCCCCGTGCGGAGGGGCACGCGCGCGGAGACGACGCGGCCGTCCGGCGCCGTGGTCTGGACGACGTCGCCCGGCCGCGTGCCCGATGGCACGCGGACGAAGAGGTGGCGCGCGCGGCGCCGGCGCGCGAAGACCGCGGGCTCGGCGTCGTCGGCGACGATGGCGTAGGCGTGCGTGTCGCAGGGCGCGATGCAGGGGACGATCGCGCACGGCGGGAAGATGCAGAACAGCATCAGCGAGCTCAGGAAAGAAGCCGGACCGTAGTAGTGGCTCTCGACGAAGCGCGTGCGGATCGCCGGCGGCGCCGGCGCGCCCGCCGCGAGCAGGTCCTCCTCGGCCTGGAGCCGCGCGGCGAGCGCCGCGTCGCCGTCGTCGACGACGACGTCCGCCGTCGCGACGGTCGCCGGCTCCGCGACGGGCATCTCCGCGAGGGGCAGCGCCGCCGTCTCCGGGGAGAGTGTCACGTAGGTGCCGGTCACGATCACGTCCTCGGCCTTGGCCTGCGCCATCTTGAATGCGAGCGCTTCGGGATATCCGGGCCCTCGTCAGAGCGCTGTGGTTGTGAAACGGGGCCGCGGGGTATTTCGGCTAGGTGATGCGCGGTCTTCGGGGGACCGTACGAGTGTCGGGACACTCGCGGGAGCTCCGGCGCGCGTGCTGAACGTCGGGAGAAGCCGCTGGGAGTGAGCGTGACGGCCGGGCTTCTCAGAGCCGACTTGAGCTGAAGGAATGGTGCAGCCTAATTTCACCCCTCGACCATGCGATGGAGCCGGAATGAGCTAAACGAAACATGATCACCTGCGCGCTCCTGTCGCGCTGCAGCGGGTCGCTGTCCCTGATAACGACGAGCTGGGCGCTCGCCGGCTTCTGGGCGCGCAAGGGCGTCTGCCCCTGGTGGACCGTCGTCGTGCCTCTGAAGAACTTTTGCCCCCGCGCGACGGTCGCGTCCGCGCACGCCTCCCTCAATCGGAGCTGCTCCGTCGTCGAGCTCTTCCAGGCGCTCGTGCTGTGCTTCTACCAGCTCCAGGCCGCCGCCGTCGTCGTCGGCCGCTCCGCGGCGGAATCCTCGAACGGCGGCTGCGAGGCCCAGGCCGCGCTCTTCCAGCTCGCGTCCCTCGGCGCCGTCGTCGCCCACGGCGTCGGGCTCCAGCGCGCCGTGCTCCGCCTCGTGGTCTTCGGCGAGCCGTCGAGCGGCATCCAGCGGCGGTTCCGGCGCTACGCGACGCTCGGCTCCGGCGCGGCCGTCGCCGCGTCCGCCGCGGCGCTCGCGCTGGGGTCCTTCGGCCCCCAGGCGCACCTGGCCTGGTGCTGGATCGGCGGCGACGCGGAGAACGAGGCCCACGCGCTGGGCTTCGGCCTCTGGGTCGTCCTCGCGTTCCTGTACGCGTTCTGGGTCCACTCGCGCGTCGAGCGCGCGCTCGGTCGGTCGCCGTCGTCGGGCGCGCGGCGCGTGCGGCGCCGCGCGCGGGCCCACGTCCTCGCCTTCGCGCTCTGCTGGGGGCCCGAGGTCGCCGCGTCCGCGCTCGCGCTCGGGCCGCGGCCGGCGGACGCGCGCGCGAAACTGCTCGCGCTCGCGCGGTCCAGGGCAGCAAAAGAGAGCGAAATTCCCCAACTTCAAAGGCTCATATCTCGGCCGTTTTCCACTCGTTTCGGCTAATTTTTGGACGGGCGATCATCTCTCGGAACGGTCTCGAAGCGTGGATGCTTTTTTTGGAACGCTCGCGCGCGGAACACTCCTTTTTAAGCGACGTTGAATCACCCTTTTGCTGCCCAGGCGCGGTCCGCGCTGACGCCGCTGGGCGGGTTCTGCTTCGCGATGCTCACGGCGACGTCCGACGGCCTCTGGGACCGGCTCTGCTGCGTGCCCAAGGTGGGCGACCGCGCGGAGCGGCGCGGCTCCGCGAAGGGCCTCGAGCTCCGGGAGACGCCCCGGGCGTCGGAGCCGCCGCCGCCGGAGGAGCCGCGCTTCTCCGAGCGCGGCGCGCCGGCGTCCCTGGAGTCCTCCCTGGAGTCCTTCGCGGACGAGGGTCTCGAGGACGAGGAGAAGAAGGTCTGGTGCGCGACGGCGAACTGCGCGGAGGCGCCGACCGTCGCCGCGCTTCTGGGCGCGCGCGACGACGCCGAGGTCGCGGAGAGGCTCCGGGCGCTGCTGCCCCGGGGCTACGACGTCTACGCGCTGGCGGTCCAGGAGTGCCTCTGCTGGGCCGAGCTCGTCGCGCGGTCGCGGCGCGTGCTCTGCGACGGCGGCGAAGCCTACGAGTGCGTCGGCAAGGGCGCCATCGGCTCCGCGCTCACGGGCGTCGGCTTCCACGGGTTCATCGGCCTGGCCGTCTTCGCCAAGGCGTCGGACGTGCGGCGCGGCGCCGCGCGCGTCGGCGGCGGCGCGGCGCCGGCGCCGGTCGTCGACGGCGCGCCGCCCGCGGCCGCGCCGCCGGAGGCGGCGCCGACGATCGCGATGCCCGGCGCCGCCGCGAAGCCGGAGAAGCCCCGGGAGGCGCCGGCCGTCGCGGCGGAGTCCGCCGCCGACGGCGTCGCGCTCATCCCCCAGGGCGCGGCGGGCCTCCCGAACAAGGGCGCCGTCGCGGCCCTCGTGACGTTCCACGACGCGACGCTGCTCTTCGTCGGCTGCCACCTCCCAGCGGACGGCAAGGCCGGCGCGAAGCTGAAGAAGCGGCACGCGGCGGTGCGCGACGCCCTCGCGCGGGCCGCCGAGGGCCTCGGCGTGCGCGGGCCCGCGGCGACGTGCGACGCGCACCTGGGCGCCGCGACGCACACGTTCTTCCTCGGAGACCTGAACTACCGCGCGCCGACGGCGCGGCCGCGCGACACGCTCGACAAGGTCGCCCGCGCCTGCGCCGCGGACGCGGACGCGCACGACGACCCGGACTCGGCGACGGACGTCGATTTGGAGGACGCGCGCGCGTTATGGGACGACGCGCTCGCCGACGACGAGCTGCGGCGGGAGCGGGCCGCGGGCCGCGTCTTCGCCGGCTTTTCCGAGCCGCCCATCGACTTCCCGCCGACGTACCGCTACGTCGCCGGCGCGCGCGCCGCCGCGTCCGAGGGCTACGCGCACGCGCCGTTGCTCGCCGCGGCGCGCGCGGACCTCTTCTCGCTCGTCAAGGAGAAGAAGCGGCCGCGCGGCGGCGGCGAGCCGAGCGACGTCGCGGCGAGCCGCGCGGCGGAGCAGCGGCTCGCGGAGAACCCGAAGCTCACGATCTCCGCCGCGGCGGCGCGCGCGGGGCTCCGGCCGCCGTCGTGGACGGACCGCGTCGTCGCGCACAGCGCGCCGCTGCGGCGCGACGACCTCGACTGCGTCTCCTACGCGTCCCTCGACGCCGTCGAGGGCAGCGACCACCGCGCCGTCGGCGCCGGGTTCTCCCTGCGCACGGACGCGGCGCGGCGGGACCTCTTCCGGGGCTCGGTCGACGCCGACGCGGCGCTCCCGGGCCGCGGAGC